AAAACAATATTATTTATATCTTCTACTAAATATTTCTTTACATATATAATAATTTTATTGAAGTTTACACATTGCATATATCATAGCCAAATTCTGTGCAGCAATATGATATCATGAGCACAGAATTTTGCTTTAAAACGGCAGCGTACACATCTATCCAATAAATAAGAAAGAAAGAAAGAAAGAAAGAAAGAAAGAAAGAAAGAAAGAAAGAGATCGTCCATCAACATTTGAGATGTTCCCATAAAAATGTAAAATTGACTATGTGCATCTCAATATATGTACATCTCAATACTTTTATATGAGTATTGTCTTCTTTGTCTTAGGCTGTTGATTTTTATCCACGATCAAAGTTTAATTCATTCTTTCTAAGAACTTCCTAAATATAACCTTCTGTGTCTTTCAATGTGCTGCATAGACTAGCATTACAAGACCAAACTTTACTGTTCATTTTCAAGTGACTGAATTGCTGTAGGCTATTGTTAGGTTTAGTAAACATTTATTCAAGTCTTTCTTTTTTCAACACACTCTGATAAGAACTACAGGATACTAGAAATGATTATAAGTAGGAATCTGGTTAATACTATGAAGAGGCTGCCTTCGAAACAAAACAGTTGAAGGAAACCAAGAATGTGACTGCCCCTTCATAAAGTCATTTAAAATAGGCATTATAGACCTCTGGGCTAGTCAAGAACCCCCACAAGGAAGACATTAATCATTCCCTCTTTCTTTGCCAAGAATGACAGTGGACTGGAAGACTGAACAGCAAGACACATTCCTGGAAAATCATATTCCAGATCTGCCTGTTCCAGTGCTTGGCCAGCAGATGTTCTGTCCTAAATTAAGAGGACGTTTGAAGAGAACGTCAAAGTTACAGGAGGTTTTAAAGAAATTCCATATATCATTGGATACAATCACAAGGAGTGAAATAAATATTTTACTGGAGATGTAGGAAGAGAATTATGTTATAATTATTATTATTGTTTTCTTCAATTTAGATTCCACTCTTCTTTTTTTATCCACTCTTTTCCCACCTCTATAATCATTTGTAATGAGATTTGGGTGTTTCTTGTGGCGCTTCATCGTGCACAATCAGATTAGGCCACGATCACATAGAACATCTTAACTAAGGATTTTTAGCTTTTGAGATATGTTGCTGGGATCAGAACCAGTCTGGAGTAGTCAAGGTGCTGGCCTAGGAGCCTAGGAACCAGGAGACTGTGAGTTCTAGGCCTACCTTAGGAATGAAAGCCAGTTGAGTGGCTTTCGGCCAGTCACTCTTTCTCAGCCTAATTCACCTCACAGATTGTTGTTGTGAGGAAAATAGGAAGAGAAGGAAGAAGAGCCTTAGTGGCACAGTGGTTAGAGTGCAGTACTGCAGGCTACTGGTTCCTACTGCTAGTTCAGCAGTTCAGCAGTTCAG